AGTCGATCGACGGTGACCAAGTGTGCCTCGATACTGGCGCTGATTGTGGAGAGTGTCAAGACGACGCGGGCCCCGCCGCGACGCTGGACGCCAGCAGCGATCGAGAGCGTCGAGGTGGCGTTGTCGGCATGGCCGCACGTGTTCCGGATCAGCGACTGTCTCGAGCGCGTGTATACGTACCTCTTTGAGATCCAGCCGACACCGCCCAAGCCAATCGCGCGTTTTCGCAGCTTGCAGCGAACGCTATCAAGCGCGATCCATCAATCCAGGTCCCACCGCACTTTGCCAAAAGCAAAGCCACTGGACGCCTACCCGATTACAGAAGAAAATACCATTGCTGCTGGGCCCCAGTCTCTGCCATTCTCGGGGCCCCAACGCGGGTCGCCTTCAACCAAGAAACCGAGTTTTGTGCGGGCGGCCAGCATTGCCCGCGGCCTCCACGCGGTGCATCCACTTCCAACCGGATCGTCTCGGCGACTCGTCCAGCTTATGCCGTGCGATGTTGCCGACACGCTAGTGCCGAGTAAAAGCCAAACCAAACTCACCATTGACGGGCCTCACCACGACTGCGGGGCCAAACGCGTGGCATCGACGGAGTCGCCTGACGGAAACGGAAGTGGACCACAACAACTGTTCGTGCGCCATCGCACAAAAGTGGGACTCTTGACTGCTGGTATTGAGCAAGCCATTGATACGACCGAACCCGTGCCTGCAGAAGAGACTGTGCGGCAGACCACCCTCTCCAAAGCGCCGATACCCTCTCAACCAAACAACGTCGACGTTGTTCCAGACAAGGTGCCATCATTGTCAGACGGTGTCGCCAAGATGGATGTTCTCTCGGCAGTTCAGCAGCGACGCTCGGAGCGCATACAGTTTATCCAGCTACTGCAGCGCGCTTACGAGCTCCAGTCGTCGACCATGACATCGACAAAGCAATGTGACACCTTGCTACGTGCCATCGAACTCTACCGGTCGCCACGCGAGTGCGCAATTCACGATTACATTGAAACGACGCTCGACCCGGTTATTCACGAGTTCTTCGAGCCGTACATGACGACGAGCATGTGTCGGCGTCCAAGTGGTGGCCACCTCTAAAACTATAAGAAGCGCCAATCGTAAACTCATGGAAACTGGGCCTTTGCTTGTGGGACTTGTTGCAGCAACGACGACGCATTGTAGTTGTCAATAGGACGTCTGTGAGAACCGCATTCACTAGTAGAGAACTAACTAATAACGCTTGACGACGACGGCTGGTAACATAGGGTCACAAACTCCACCTGCACTCGGGCCGTCGAGAGCAGGCGATAGTTTATTGAGAACTAGCGTGCAGGGAAATGGAAGTCTCCAAGTGGCCATGGAAGGATTGAGTCGCTTGAAGAACGATGGGGCAGCATTTAATGGTCTTGGTTGGCCTTGACTGTGGGAAACCAGAATCGCGCGACAGGAACGAGCCGCTTTCACAGCCAGCGACAATGGCCGATTCGGTTCGTATCATGCGTGCACCCCTGACAAGGATACCAATCGAGCTATCGCGTGAA